GAGGAGGAAGGGGGGGAGGAGGGAGGGGGGAAGAGGGGGTGGAAGGGGGAGGAGGGGGAGAAGGGAGGGGGAGGAACAGTAGGGGGAGGAGGGGGAGGGAGGAGGGAGGAAGGAGGAGGAGGAGGGGAGAAGGAGGGAGGAAAGTAGGGGGGAGGAGGGAGGAGGAGGGGAGGAAGGGAGGAGGGGGGGAGGAGGGGGGGAGGAACAGTAGGAGGTGGAGGAGGACTGAGAGGAGGGGGGAGGGGGAGGGGGAGGGGGGAGGAGCAGCCCCTGGGCTGGAGCAGCAGCTGAGGCTGGGAGGGGCGTGAGGCTGCCGCTGCGGCTGCTGCTCTGGAGAAGGGGGCCCAGGGCCTGTGATTTTATCTTTTCTGGGGAAAATAAAAACGTGGAGGAAGAAAACATTTGCGTTTCCCTTTCCTTCCTGGTCAGGTCCGGGCAGCATGTCAAGGTCACTCGGGAGCGCTGCTGCTCTAGGGGGAAGAAGCAGCAATCGGGGAGCAGGAGGATGGTGTTCTCTTCGGGGGGGTGCCTCTCCCAAGGCCCCGAGGGACCCCGTGGGAACCAGGCCGTCTCCTGAGGGGCCTTTGTTCCCGGATACTCGTCCCCCCCCACGCCCGCCTCCTCTCTCATCAGCGTCTGAGGACGGCACCACTGCCTCGTCACTCCTGGGCCGGAGCCTTGCGAATGCGAAGGGCCCGCTGATCAGAACCCCTGGCTTTCAAGGCGGATTTATTACCCTTTAAAGGCAGATTTATTGGGTAATGGCTTCCCAAAGTGCTCCCCGCTCAGGGCCCTGCAGCGAAAAGGGTGTCCCCTCCCTGGGGCCGGGGACAAGCCTGCAGCCCACTTGGGGGCAGAGCCGGGAGCCTCCCGCTTCCTCCCCACCGAGCCCCAGCAGCCAGGGCGGACACTGGAGCAGGAGGAGCAGGAGGCGGCAGGGAAAGAGCACCTTCCAGAAGGCGCCCTGGGGTCTGGCTCCTGCACTTGGACCTGCGTCTTCCTTTCCCCTTTTAATTGGATTTGGAGGGCTCAATGTGGGGACCTGGGAGGAAAAATTCCCATTAGCACTGTTGTTGCCTTTGGAAAAAAGAGGTGGGGGTTGGGGGGCGCTCAGGCCAGAAGGGAGAGGTGAAGGCAGGGGGCAGAGGTTCAGGCCAGGGAGCCTGGGAGGGGGGTGCCTGGGCCGGGCCCGCCGAGAGGCGCTGGAGAGACAGCTCCCAGCGGCCCGGGGAGTGGGGTGGCCGCCCGGCCCCATTTGGACCGAAGTGTCCTCCCGGGATGGAGGGCTGAGCAGCAGGCGGGAGAGCAGCGGAGGCCCCGACATACCTCTGGAAACCATGGAGATGGGGGAGGCGGTGGACAAGATGAACAGAGTGAGGCAGGAAGCCCGCTGGGGAGCAGGCAGGGCCGGAGGAAAAGCTGGTGGGGGACAGAACGAGAGACGGAGGCGGCCGTGAGACAGACTTGGGGGGGGGGCGGACAGACAGACAAAGTCTGGGCCTGTCAGAGCATCCGAGCGAGAGCGCAGAGCGCGAGAGGCAGCGGGCGGAGGGAGAGCGGCGGGGAGAGGCCGGGCGCGTGCAGGGTGAGGGGCTGCGGGGAAACTTTTCAGGCCAAGTCCAGCCCGGCACGTAACGCAGACCCGGTCCCCGGGGCTCGCTGCAGAGCTCGGCGGTCTGAGGAGGTGATTAATGTCTGTGTGGGGAGCCGGCCTGGGCAAGGAGGTTAGCGAGGGGGACGGAGAGGAGGGGAAGAGTCCCCCCCTCCAGCTCCAGCCGCCCCAGTTCCCAGGTGAACCCCCCTTTCCCCTGCTGGATGTGAAATCGCCATTTCACCCCGCCACACTTCTTAATTGTTGCAAAAATCATTTGTGAAATTGGTCTCCAACAGGCAAGAACGGCCACGCTCATCCAAGACACCCCCCCCTCCTCCTGCGACTGCCCTGAGGGAGCCCATGGAATCCCCAAGCCTCCAAAATGCAGCTCTGGAGCCGCCAGCATGGGGTTGGGGTGGGGGGACCCTGCTGGGCTGGGGGTGGGGCAGCTCAGGGTCGTCCCGGAGGTGGGGCCCATGCCAAGGCAAAGTGGCCCCGGCACAGAACGCCTCGGGTTCCAACGCCCAGCTGGGCAGCGGGCCCTGAATGGAGGGGTCCGGCTCCGCGCTCACCCCGCTCACCCCTATCATCGGCTCCGCGAGACACTCAGGCAGCGGCCACAGATTCTGCAGGGAGGGATGGAGTCTGCAGCCTCAGCCAGCCTCAGACGGGGGGAAGTTCTGAGGTCTTTTCTCTGTCACCCTGAGGTGACCCAAACACACACCACACCTGGGGGGGGGGAGTTGGGGGGTCCTCAGAGCTGAGCTGAGCCAAGATGAAGAGACTCCAAAAGACCAACACAAATGCTCACTGGGACGCTGGCCCGGCCCGCAGGCGCTGCCCAGGGGAGAGCAAGCCCAGCTTCCCCTGGACACACGGCCCTGGGCACCCAGGCACTCTCCTCCCACCAACACAGAGACGAGGTGCTCGAAGTCTCTCCAGGCAGGAGGGAAGCCAGCGGAGGGTGAATGTGACCGGACGTGTGCTCACAGACGGTGTACACGTGTGTCTGCATCCACGGCCACGTCCGTGCACACAGAGCTGCCCCTGGGGTCAAGTCAGGCCAGGCCAGCACGCAAAGGGGGGTCAAGTCTATCTTCGGCTCCCCCAGACACACCCACGGTGGCTTCAAACTTCATCTCCCACTTTCTCTTGGGGGCTGTGGGGATGGCGTGTAGCACCCACAATGAGAAGAGGGGACCAGGAAACGCAGGCAGCCTGGTACCCGAGGCTGGGCAAGATGACCTGGGATTCCCTGTCCTGTTCTGAGGTTACTTGCCCCACCCCCTCCTCAGTCCTGGGGCCATGGGAGGGTGCGGGCTTAGCACCTACTTCAGCACCTCCCATTCCCACAGGCCTCCCCCTTCAAGAACCTGTGGACCCCCAGTGTAGCAGTCCCGGGGAGCGGGGAGTCCGCCACTCACTGAGAGGGGCAAAGGCCACAGGTGAGGAGAAGGGAAGGGGCAGGGGACTCTGGGGCAGCTAGAGGAGAGCCCCCCAGGCCAAGACCAGGCTGACCCCCGCGCTGGGGAGAGGGCGGGCCGGGGGCGGGCCAGGGGCGGGCTGGGGGCGGCTCGCAGGCTGGGTTTATTTTATTGTATTTTGCCTCCAGCCCTGGCCGGAGACACTCTTTCCCCGGGGGACAAAAGGCCTGCAGTCCTGGCGTCCTGCCCCGCTGGGAGGGCGTTTCGCCCCCAGGACTCGGTGTCCAGAGGCAGGGGCGTGCGGTCACTACGCCTGGCGGGCAGACTGCGGAAGCTATGAGCCCCCCACCATTTCATTGGGACAGCCCCCTCCAAGTTCCCTCCTCCCCCAGGAGCTCAAAACTGATGAGCTGAGGGTGGTGCCACGACCTGCTGGAAGGCCTCTCTCCCCCCTCCACCCTTTGGGGCCCCCAGATCCTGGCACCCACTTGCTGTTCGGCCTCAGGGCTCATGACTTACTGCTGGAAAGCGGGTTCAGGGAGGAGCCCTGGGGACAGAAGAAGACTGGGTTGACACGTGGCTGGGGAGGCTTGGGGGGAGCGGGCGGGGCAACAGTGGCGTCCCTGACACCGGGCAGACAGTTTCCCAAGCTCGAGCCCCCTCGCAGTCACTCTGGGCAACTCGGAGGTGTGGGGGCCTGGGAAACCTGGGCTGGGGCCTCCGACATAATCTCAGAGAGAAGGTCCTAGTCCCCCCACTTTGCAGTCGCCTAGGCCGCTTCCCGGGGGGCCCCACTCGCCCACACGTCAGTGTGCGAACGCGGGGCAGCGCGCACGAGACCAGCGCCCGGGCTGGAGGCCGCAGAGGAGGCCACGAGGACGAGGCACCCGCCGAAGCGACGTTCCCACGGGCCGCGGCCAGAGGGGCCGGGGTGGCCAGGACGTTGGGGGTGCAGGGGGGGCGGGGAGCGCGGGGGGGGGCGCCCGTTCGCCCCAGGAAGACGCTCGGCCACAGCTGACCCTCTCCCGGGCGCCCCCGCCCCGGCCTCTGCGCCTCCGGTGTCCACGGGCAGTTCAAATTCTCCCCCCAAAACCAGGCCGAGCCGGGGATAAGAAAAGAGAGAAAATTCGTTGGCGATTTCTTCTCGTTATTGGTCCCGGGCTCCCTTCCGCCGGGCCCCCTTCCGAGCTCATGAATAAAGGACAAGTGGGAGCCTATCAGATCTCGGGGCCGCCTCCGCCGGACTCCGCCGAGCGCGTCTGCACAACTTACCCGGCGGGTCCCCGGCCCTTCGCGCCCCCTCTTTTCTCTCCAGCCCCGTCACCCCCTCGCCTCCCTCCGAGCCCCGAAACCCGAGAGGCACCTTCTTCGCCCCCGGCGCCCGGGCGGGGGCGGGGGTGTGAGCGCCGGAGGTGGGGGCGCCGCGGGCCGGCCGGGGCGCGGGGCGGCGCGGGCGGCGCGCGGGGAGGGCGGGCGCAGAGGGCGAGGGAACAAACATATAAATAAATCGGAGCGAGAAACCCGCGCCGCAGCCTCCCGGCTCAGAAACTTCGGCCCGGAGCGCGAGCGCGCGCCCCTCGCCAGGCCCCGGCTGGGGGCCCCGACTCCGGCCGCGCCCCCAGCCCGCGCGCCGCCGCCCGGCCTCGCCCCGCGGGTCCCGCCCGGCGCAGCGGCCGCGCCACTTGTGGCCGGCGCCGCGGACGGGGCGGCCTCGGGGCCGGCGTGTGTGTTTGTTTGAACTTCCCCGGGGCCCCTTCCCTGCCCCACCCCCCGCCCCGGCGCGCCCCCTCCCCAGCCTCGGACGCGCTCGGCGGCGGCCGCCGGGGTGGGGGGCGGGGCGGGAGAGCGTGTGCAGGGGAGGAGGGAGAGGGGCAAAAAAAAAAAAGGAGACGAGGAGGAAAGAAAGAAGTCGCAGCAGGGGCACCCGCGGCGGACGGGAAGCGAAGCTCGTCGCCTCCGGACTCGGCCCCGGCGCGCGCAGGATGGCGGCGCTGCCCGGCACCGTCCCGCGCATGATGCGGCCCGCGCCGGGCCAGAACTACCCGCGCACCGGGTTTCCCCTGGAAGGTAAGAGCCCGGGCGCCGGCCTGCACCCAGCCCTGCGCCGCGGAGCTCAGGTCCCGGGAGAGCCGGCGGGGCGGCGGCCGCAGGAGGGGCCCCCCTTTCCTGGGGACCAAGACCGGGCGCCCGACGCAGAAGTTTCTGGGACCGACACTTGTCGGGCTGCGCGCGGGGCCCGAGCTCCCCGGTCGCGGATCCGGCCTCAGCCGCCGGCCTGGGCGCCCGCGGACTCGGCGCCTAGTAGATTTCGGGTGCTGGTGAGTTCAGTTCGCCCCACTGTCTTCTGAGCTCCCCCGCCCGGGGTTCTCTGGCCTCGCCGCCCTCGCCGGCCGCGCGCTCCCAGCTCTGGCTTTGAACTGCTCTTTGCACCCCGGGATCGTCCTGCGATCCCTTTTATTTCGAAATGCGCGGGGCTCCCTCCGCGCGAGCGAGCGGGGCTGTCCCCTCCCCGAAAGCCACGCTCCGGAACCCCGGCTTTGGGGTCCGGAAACAAACTACTTTGAAAAAATAAATAGTAACGAAGTTTTTCGCTCAAACTTTTCCCTCGCGCTTCCGAGCTCTGCAAACCTCCCGGGAGGGAGAGAGCTCCAGGCCGGCGGGCGGCCCGCGCCGCGTCCAGACTGGGGGAGAGCCTGCGCTTTGCGGGGTCCTCCCAGCCTCTCCAGCACCCCGCGAGCGGAGAGGACTCGGCGGCCGGCTCCCCGCTGGAGAAAGGGGCCGGGAGCGCGCCCCAAAACCCTGTCCTGCGTTTTTGTTTTGCTTTGAAGCTAATGGATGACCTTCACCTTGTCAGCCGAGGGCCGGGCAGCTCGGCCTCTGGGGACAGGAGCGCGGGGTGCCCTGGGGCAGAGATTGGGGCGACTTTTATTCTTTTAATTGCTCTTCTTGCAAGCGAGTGAGTCCCTGGTGCGTGAGGATGGGGAGCGGTGGCAGGGCGGGGGTGGGTGGGCAGACAGGCGGCCAGCGATCTGGGGGGCCCTCTGGCAGCGCCCCGGCGCGGGTCCCCGCATGAGCCGCGGCGAGGAGAGCGGCTCCGTGATCAAGTGCGCGCGAGCGGCCACGCAGGCGGGGAGCGCGCAGGCCCGGGGATTTGCCGCGGCACTCTCCCGTGGCGAATGCAAGTAAAACAGGCGGCCGGGAAGGCGCGGCGGATTAGAACAATATTTGCCCAACATGACGGAGAATACTGAGGAGCGCCGAGAGCCGGTCGCTAAAGAGGCTCTTGAATATAAAGTTGGGCCCTCGAGAGCTCTCGAGCGCTAATGGCATATCCCGCCACGGAGACCGAGTGACTCTGACTTGGCGACGCACGATTTCTGATTAAATCCGAGGGTGGCTTCAGACACCCACTTCTGCAAAGAGCGGCGGGGGGACCGGGAGAGAGCGGGAGGAGGCGTCGGCGCGGCTCAGCGGCCCGAGCCTCTTCTCGCCTCCTCCTATCCAATTATCCGTCGGCTCCCTCCACTCGGGGGGCTGTGAAATCGTTCTAATCTGCCAGATCTCCGCAGCCGCTGAGTCCCCAAATTGGGGGGATCGAGGCTGGATTAGTGCGCCCGGTGTCCCCCAACCGGCTGCGAGAAAATTGTGTAGACTTTGCATTAAGGCTTCCCGGGCTGCTCCCCCCACCCCCCCGCCCCCCAGCACACACCAGGGGTGCCTGTCTTCGGGGTTCCCAAAGTCACCCACACCGGGGACTCTGGCCCATCTGTGTACCAGCCTCCCGGAGCCCTCAGGGAGCTTCATGGGTATCTCAGGCCAAGCGGGGCGTTGGATTTAGAAGCTCACCAACAATAGCCTGTGTCCCCAAATTGCCCCCTAACGAAATTAGAACTTTGAGAGGGGGTGGAAGCAAAAGGAGTCCCCCAAGGAAAAACCGGAGCCCCCAGAGGCTGCTGCCGACCACATTAGGTCACTGGCCCCGCTGTGGTGCGCGCTGTTAGGGGTTTTTTGGTTTTTGTTTTTTACGGTTAGGACAGTTCTGCTGGCCAAAGCCCGGACTGTAACTACTAGCCACCAGCCCACCCCTCTGAACCCCGATAAGATGGATCTTGACCACTGAGTGCATGGAATGGCCAGATGGGGCACAGACCTGCAGCCCATGCACCCCAGTCTCCCGGGCCTACCAGCTTTGGGGCTGTGGCGTCTCACCCCTATCTCTCTCCCTTCCCTTCTCAGAGGGATTCCGCTCCCCCAGGTGTGTCCTCATTCCCCAGGTGTGGCAGGAGTCGGGGCACACTGTATCCAGGGGGAACTCTTGCAACCAGCCTGGATTCCTCTCTCCACCCCTGGAGGACCCTCCCATGGCTTCCCAACCTCTGAACTCCCAGGCTCTGAAAGTGGAGAGCACAGGTGGTCCTGGTCTTGGGGTTCAAACCAACCTGCAGTCAAGCGTGCTGTGCCCAGTTTCTCCTCCCCATCCTCACCCTGCACCTCTCTCTTTCCGTATTTCCCTCCCTCGTCTAGTGTCCACCCCCCTTGGCCAAGGCCGGGTCAATCAGCTCGGTGGGGTCTTCATCAACGGGCGACCCCTGCCTAACCACATCCGCCACAAGATCGTGGAGATGGCCCACCATGGCATCCGGCCCTGCGTCATCTCCCGCCAGCTGCGCGTCTCCCACGGCTGCGTCTCCAAGATTCTCTGTCGCTACCAAGAGACCGGGTCCATCCGGCCCGGGGCCATCGGGGGCAGCAAGCCCAGAGTGAGTGTCTTTGCCTCAGAGCAAAGTGGGTCTCCCCAAGATTGGGGGATCCTGGCCTGACCCCTCTGGTGACCCTGGATCATCCAGTAGCACCCGAATGTCCAGAAGCTTCCTCTGGAAAAAGCAGCGGGACAGTGTCCTCAACCCTCCACCATCCCCACCCATTCCTTGACTTCCCCAGAGATGGGACAGCTGAGGGCCGGCTTGCCCAAGACTTTGAGGCCATGAGTCCTGCCCAGGTTGCCTCTACAGCGGCCCCGGCCACCCTGCCTCCATCCCAGACCGGGGGAAATCTTTCATTCCGGACTGAGTAGTGAGGGTGTGAGTAGGGTTGTAATTAAGTTACTATTTTATCACTTAGCGCCTTCCTGTCACCCCACCCAGGATGCCTTCCCGGGTGGGAGTCAGGAGCAGGCTTCTGGAAAAAATCAGGCCCCTCTCAGGCGGGCATGGTGACCAGGGCCGCCAGCCTCGCCTGGGGCTCTTGGGAGGCTGATATTAAAAGTATCTCCCTCTCCCCCCACCCCATCTTTCCGCTCCTACTCTCCCGCCTCCACCCCTGAAGCAGGTGGCCACTCCGGACGTGGAGAAGAAGATCGAGGAGTACAAGAGGGAGAACCCGGGCATGTTCAGCTGGGAGATCCGGGACCGCCTGCTGAAGGACGGACACTGTGACCGCAGCACCGTGCCCTCAGGTGAGAAGGCAGCTGAGCCCCAGGGCTGCTCGCCCGGGCTCCCCGATGCAGCTGGCTGCGGGTGGGGGGCGGGGAGGTGACAGAGGGGCAGGCAACTCAGGGAAGAGGCAGGAGGAAAGGGAACGAGAGCCCTGAAGAGTTAGGGTTCAGGGTCCAGGAGGAAATCAAAAACGAAAGGAAGGTGGACGTAGGAAAGAAGAGACTTGGGAGAAGAGGGAGAAAGAAAGGAAAGAGGCCAGGAGTGGCGGGTGGGTGCGCAGGAAGGCAGGCAGGAAGGAGCAGAACGCTTCTCTATGAGGCTGGGGTGACCAGAAGCTCCTTGGAGCCAGCTCAGAGACGGGGCCTAGGGAGCTAGGGATGTCCTAGGAGAGCTGATCTTCCTGGGCTCCTGCACCCCCTTCTCCAAGTCTGCACTTCTGGCTGCTGCTGCAGTCTCCAGTGGGCCCCAGAGGCGAGGCCCTGCACCGCGAGGCCTGCGCTGGTGTGCGCACACGAGCATCCAGGCAGGCAGGGCTGGGGCACACCTGAGTGCCGGCGGCAGCCCAGGTGGCCTGGAGGGCCTCCCGGCAGCGGCAGCGGGGGCGGCCGGTGTGAGCACCTCTAGGGTGTGCGATAGTGTCAGACACACGTGTGTGCAAGGCTGTGTACAGGAGTGCACTCGGTGGGTGCCTCTGCCCCGTCTTGCCACGTGTGAGTGCCCCAGGTGTGTCAGGCCCCTGAGTAGGTGTGAGAGCATACGTGGGGGGCTGGGGGCAATGGGTGAACCCGACTTTCTCTCCTCGGCGGCGCCGCATCCCCTGCCCCAACAACTTATACTCGCTCTTTTTTGCCTTTGAATTTCTGAGGTTTAGTGAGTTCGATTAGCCGCGTGCTCAGAATCAAGTTCGGGAAGAAGGAGGAGGAGGATGAAGCGGACAAGAAGGAGGAGGACGTGGAGAAGAAAGCCAAGCACAGCATCGACGGCATCCTGGGCGACAAAGGTAGGGCCCTCCGGGCTGGGGCTGGCGACCCGCGCCAGGGTGCCCGCCAGCGGTCTGCTTGTGCCGCTGCCGCCGGGCAGCCACAGAACCCCAGCGGGACAACCTGCAGCTCCCCGCGCAGCAGGGAGCCTCGGGGTGGCCAGCAGTGCCCCTCCGTGCGCCCCCCTCCGCTCCAGGGCTTAGGCTGGGCGCCGTGCGGGCGCCTTCTTTGCCCTGCGGAGCTGGAGCCGAGGGCGCAGGCGGTCTCTGTGTCCCCCGGGAGCCCCGCGGCGGGCCATGCCCCGCGCCCCGCGGACCGCGAGCCCAGCGCGCCTCGTGTGGCGCGGACTCCGGCGCGCGTGAGTCTAGGGACCGGCGTTTTGGCTTCTAGTCCTGGTGTCGATCTATTATTTATAGGAAATCTGGGCACGGGGGCGGTGGGGGAGGGGGCGAGGAAGGAGGAGCCGGCCCGCGGCTCCCTAAATGAATTTGTTAACCAGACCCGCACAAGCTCTCTAAACGGTCCCTTGAAACCCCGCCTGACAGTTGACTGACCGCTGCAATCAATAAAAATTAGCGAGGACCGCGTGGGCAGCCATGGAGCTCCCAGTCCCGCCTTGCCAGGGCCAGAGCCCGGACAGTGCAGAGTGGGGTGCAGGGGGGTGCACTATGAGAGTGTGTTACCCTTAGGCGCAGTGGCCAGGGGAACCCACCCAGATGTCCTGGGTGGGCCGATTCTAGGGGGGAGAGACATTCGGCTCCGCTTGGCCTGTCCCCTTTTTTCACTGGGCAGCAGGGAGTGCTGGATGCTCAGCCCGGCGCCCTGAGTTCGCTCACCCGCCAGCTGGGGAAGTTGATTATCTTGTAAGCGCCTGCGTGCTGGGAAGAGAGTCGTGTTTTTGTTTATTGCGGCGAAGTTTCAGAAGGGAAAGTTCTTTCTTATTATCCCCCACAACACCTCGAGTTCCCTCTGAGAGCAGCAAGCGTGGACGTGGGCAGGAAAGGACATGGAAGATGCAGAAGTCACAAAGACTGACCCGGGGGAAGAAGTGAGCCCCCAAACAGTGCGGGGAGGCAGCTGGCAGGCAGGAAGGTCAGCAGCCACGCGAGCCAGCAAAAGGGTAGTTTGGAGGGAAGCAGGACAGTGCCCTGAACCAGGAAACCTGTAAAGTGCACGTTTTGTTGATTTCTTTCCAGAGGATTCTGTGGGCACTTCTCTCCCTGCCTCCCTGGCACCCCTACACCAAGTCTCTCCAGTGTTCAATACTCCCCAACCTTGAAGATGAACTTCACAGACAAAGCCCACTTCCAAAGACAACTTCCAGCAAGGCCCTGCCCCCACAGGCTTGGGAGGGGGGCCGGGGCAGCCCCTTGCGAGAGCTGCCCGGAGCTGGGGAAGGGGCGGGCTATAGAAATTCAGGGCCCCAAGAGGAGCCCAGTCCCCACAGGGACAATAGGGTGAGGGAAGAAAGGAGAGAGGGAGCGAGCTGCGCCCGGCACCCCGCTGTGCAGGCTCTGGAGCCTTGGGGCTGCCAAGTTGCCCGAGGCTGGGTAGAGGCCTGCCAAAGACTTGAGACCCCTGAGGGGAACCCAGCCCTTGTTCCAGCTTTTTTGGAAGGGGGCTTAGTTGGACTTCTTTTTGGGGGTGAAGGGACATAGCCCTTGAGTCATCTCTCCTGGCCAAAACAGCAAACCTTCCGCGAGGTAGCCCGGGAGAAGCGAAGAGGTTGGTTTCATTTGGGGAGACTCTAGGCGCTCGCGTGTGTGTCGGGTGGGGCCGGTTCAGTCTGGGAGGAAGCGCGCGGGTAAATTTCTTCTGAGAAACATTGTGAAAGCAAAGATTGTGCGGTTTGGGGGCCCCCTGGACTCAAGGATGTTCAGGGACTTCCGGGCTGGTGCGGGCTCCCGGAACCGGCTTGGCTTCGCTGAACAGAGGTTTTCCTGCCGCAGAGCCAGGAAGGGTTTCATGAGGGGCCAGCGGTTCCAAAGGGCGAGGCCGAGCGCGTAGGCACAGAGTCTGGAGACAAGTGGCAGGAGTGAAATGAAAGCGGTGGGTCTGGTGTCAGGAAAAGCCCTTGGCTCTTGAGTGACAGCTGGGCACGATTCGATGGCTGCGAGCTGGATGGCAGGGAGCGCGTCTGGCCACGGCCTTTGGGTCAGCGCGTCGGTGGGCTGCATTCTGTCCCCGCAGGATCCCGTGTGGCTGCACAGGGTCACTGTCGGCGGGCGTGGGTGGGCGGCAGGGAAGAGGGGTTTTCTGGCCGTCTGGACACATTGGAGCACCGAGGCCGGTCAGGCTGTGGCTACCCCGTGAACCCACCCCCTGGAACTTCTCACCTCTCTCCCAAGCCCAGGACCTCAGTTCCAGGGCCAAGTGAAAGGTGAAAAGCCCACCCAACCTCCACCTCTGCCAGCCAGGTGGCAAGAGGTGCCACAGGGGCATAGCAGCGGCAGGGTTGCGCACCCACAAACTTTGTTTTGGCTTCTTGCTCGTGACAGATGCTTTCTCTGGGGCGGCCCCTGTCATGGCGGGGAGCCGCTGAAGACGGGGTTTAAGAGCTCTGCTCTTTAAGCACTAAAGAGAGATTCCTCCCTGAGTCCGTTTTTGCCTATCGCCCGCTTGGCATTTAATAATGTTAAGACTTATTAGAGCTGGTAATGAAAACTGGGGCTGCTGAATAGGAAACTGTGTTGGAGAGGAGTGTAATAGCTTCCAGGCATGGTAAGAAACTATTTATCCGCAATCAGTCCGCACTCTCAGAGTTGGAAGCACAAACGTTAAGTTGAAGGGTTTTAAAGCAGATTAAATTGAGCTTTTATTTCTGTGCACTTTCATCTCCGAACGGCTCTCTCCTGCTCCCCTTGGGCTGATATTCATGAGGCTGTTCATATACTTTTTTTTTTTTTTTTTTGCTCTTATCCTTGTTAAGACTGAATTGTTAGGATTGTTGGTGGTGAGAATTCTCAGTCGGCTGCTGATAGGGGCTGCGGTTGCGCTTCGCTCACCTGGAGAAAGAAATGGACAGTTCCCTGCCTTGATCCTCTAGGACCCGCTTCTCCTCACTCCTTCCCTGAGGATCAGGGTAGAGACAGGCCAGGAACCCAATCAGGAGAGGATTTAAGGAGAAACCGGGGAAGGAAAAGATTTTCCCAGTCCGAGTCCAGCCCGCGGAGACTTTTGTGGGAAATTTGATCGGGGCTCGCCAAGAGTCAGCCCATTCCTTTGTGGGAGCGGAGGACGTGAGGGTGAAGAAATAAGCCGTAATAAAATAAAATAACAGGAACAGTCATAAACAAGAACACCAGAGCGTCTCACCTCTGACAATGCACAAACTTAGGCTGAAACTGACCACCTCAGACCCGGGGGGCACCGCATGGGCCTCCAGGGGAGCGAGCCCAGTGGGGTCACCGTGACTATACCCCAAGGGAAGTCTCAAGATTAAAAAAAGCCACAGAGTGTGCATTTCCCTAGGAGGGGGGCCGGGTGTCAAAGTTTCCTGGGACATTTTCAGCCGCCCCTCTCTGCAAGAACATCTGAAGTGTGTCTGTCTGTGTGTGCGAGGCAGATGTTTCTTTGCATTTTCCATCATTTATTTTTAATGCCGCGCACTTACAGGTGTGGAGCGCGAAGGCTCGGGAAGGCGGGGAGAGCCCTAAGTGTCGGGTTTAGACACTTGTAAAAGGAGGTGGGAAACAATTTAATTTGGCAGGAGCGATCGCTGCTAATGCGGTTTTCGGTCGTTTGCTACACTAGAGGAAGCTGTTTTGATTGTGTGTACAAGGACCTGCCAAATTTAATTAGGCTCCGGGGGAGCGAATGAATAGGAGAAGGGGGGCAAGACTCCCCTCAGCCCACACTGGTGTTTTTTTTTTTTTTCCGGGCTTCACACCTGGAAGGGCATTGTTTGTCCAATGGGCGAGAAGGGGCACAGCGCAGAGGAGGGGCGGAGGGGCGCCGAGGGAGAGGGGCCTTGGAAGAGGGATGAGGGAGGGGACCCAGATAGGCCATTTATCAGGAAACAATCTGCATTGATTTAAACCAACAAGTTCCCTGCTCTGTGAATGTGTGTTTAGAGAAAGGTAATTGACACTCCACCAAATCAAAGGATTACCCCGGGTTGGCAATCTAATCAAACAGAGTCCAGGCGGGATTTGAGGCTGTTCAGAGTGGGATCAGCTTCGCATAATGGGGGCTCGGAGGAAGATAGGAGGGTGTCAGGCGATTCCCGGGCTTTAGGCAGTGCTCGGCAGAGGCTATTCCGGGAGACCAGGGGGGGAGACGGTGGGGGCCAGAGAGAGACTGGGGTGCTGGGGTGCTGGGGGATGGAGTGAGCGGAGAGAGGGTGTGGAGTGGGGGGCTATCCAGGCGGAGGGGGCTGCTGGCGAGGGGGTGAGCCCACACAGGGCTGACAAGACTCCCCCTTTCTTCCCTCAATCCCCCCAACCGAGGAAGGGAGGAGGGAGCGCAGACGCACGGAGAACAAGGAGGAGATAACTTACAAAGGCAAACGCTGGCGCTCGCTTGCTCGCAGCCCCAGAACGTGCAGTCAATAAACAAAGTCGGCAAACTGTTTGCCAGATAAACTCGTGCCTAAATCAAGTGTGACGGGCAGGGAGAGAAGAGACAGAAGGAGATAAGGTTGGAGGGGGAATGAACGAACATAATCTAATAGAAGACGTTTAGAAAACAAACTTTAAACAAGGGAGAACAGGCAAGCGGCGGGTAATTACCCGCCCCAGAGAGAGGGAAGCCTTTGGAGGGCTGGGCTGGGCTGGGGTTGGGGGTGACGGGAGCCTTGGAAGAGCTGTGTATTGGGGTGGGGGGGCCTTTGGGACTCCGCCAGGAGCCAGGAGAGGATTTGAACACCCCCCCCCCACCCCCAGTTTGAGGTTCCCGCTCAGCCCCAGTGCTCCCACGACGCAGGCATTTCTCCACAGGGTGGGGTGCCCCGCTGGGAGGGCTCGCGGGTTTGTGTTCACCCCGGGGCACACACACACCACACACCGGCTGTTTGCAGGCG